TAAACTAATTTTCCACTATCTCAATGAAGAAGTTTTACAAGCATACCACACAAGCATACACTCCTACATTCAAGATAACCACTTTCTTGACCCAAGAAAGCACCTCTTGTAGAAACCCACTACAAAAATTTCTTACCACTTGAGACACCTACTCAAGATTTACAATTATTCATAAAGAATTAAAGGAACGAATTCACCTGGAAGCTAAACAGATCAGACTGTGAATTCAGAAGAAAATCTCAATCTTTCTCTTTCTAAGAATGTGATGATGATGATGATCTTTTTCAAAGCATTTCAAAAACGTTTTACTTCTTGGTTTCATAAAGAAAACACTCCAAGAAGGTCACAAAGACTTCACAATGACGTTTTTCTCTTTTTGATTGTTAACTCATTCTCTGTTCGTTCTTTTTTTGAAGTTTCAAAGTGTGAAAACTATTTATAACATTTTCAGAATCAGATAATCGATTATTTTAAAGGATAATCGATTATTTTGTTCTTCATGATTTTTGGAAATCAACCAAGAACAGATTAATCGATTATTTTGCTGGATAATCGATTATTCCAGAGAATGATTCCTGGGACAATCGATTATTTCAAAAATAATCGATTATTACATCAAGGTATCACTAGTACAAAAGAGGTATTTCACGTCGGTTCTTTTTAGCTTTTTACGTCAGAAAAAATACCGACGTAAATGCGGGAGACATAAATTTACGTCGGTATTGTAAAATCAACAAATTAGCAGAAGAAACGAGAGGGTGCAGTGGAAACTAGTAGTGAAGATGGAAAGTAAACAAAAGGAGGTTCACTTCACTTTTACCTTGAGCTTCTTCTTCTCTGGCCACCGCTCTTAATCTCTGAAAATGTAAACAAAAGGAGTACCTCTGTACGTGAAGATGGAAAAAGAAAACAAAAGGAGGTGAAGTGGAAACTAGTACCTCTATACGTGGCCATGATCCTGGCCTACGGCTCCGTGAAGTGGTGGAAGATCTTCACGCCATCTCCCTTCTCTCGTTCCATTTCATCGTGTCGAACAACCCCTATGCCATGAAGTACCAGCTCTTCCTCAGGTCGAGGACCAGCTCTTGTTCATAACGGTGGATTCGCTGCGGAAAGCCATCATCTTGGGCGTGCTCTTCCTCTGGTCGAGGACCAGCTCGAAAGGGTCACGCTCTTCTCCCTCTCTACTTGCTCAAGGGCACGGTTCAGATATAGTGGTAAAAACCATTTTACGTCGGGTATAATAGAGTCCGACGTAAAATATAAAATCTACATCGGACACAAAATCTGTCCGACGTAGATTTTATATTTTACGTCAGACTCTATGATATCCGACGTAAAAAACTTCATAAAAATTACAACGCTGACACCGCATTTTTTTTACGTCAGTTTTTGTTATGACCGATGAGAAAATAGTGACGTAAAAGACTGATTTTCTACTAGTGTATCATTTTTACCTGTTGCTAGAATAATCGATTATATTTAATGATAATTGATTATTTTGAGTCAGTTTTCAAAAACTCTGTTTTATATCTCAAAATAAATTTTCAAGTTTCTAACCCATCATCATACTCACTCTTAGTCAGATTAGATAAAGATTAACTCATGCACAAAGCACACACATGCAAAATAAGCTCAACAAAACAATACAACTTATGAGCTACTCCTATTACACATCATAATAGCCATATTTTCTTCTTGACTTTGTTTTTGACTTGTTGATGTCCTTGGTCAGCTTTGATTCTCATAATCCACATTTTGTTATCATCAAAACCTTCATTCTCCAAGTTTTCTCCGAGTTTGAGTTGATTCACCACTCCATAAATCTCAACAATCTCCCACTTTTTGATGATGACAAACCATACTAGCCATTTTGTTTTGCAAACCAGTATTTTCACATTTTAAGTCCTGCAAAACAAACTCAAAAACCTTTCTCCCCCTTTGGACATCATAAAAAACAACTAGATATACTCATATGTCCAAATTCGTCATGTATTGAATTATGCACAAGAATCATTTGCTCAAAAATTTAATACCACAAAACCAACTATAGGCATTGTTCCAATTAATCCTAAAGTAACATCAGAATTTGTATCAGAAATTTTTCATATTCATCACGTTATCTTTTAATCACAATATCTCAATCATATGATTCATCAGCTAAGCATCATATCATTAGCAAACATCACAAATATGCATTATATTTGCACACACCAAGATACAAACCAGAATATTGAAACCAAATCAAAGTTTCCATAAGCAAATCATCCCAAACACAATATAACCACAATAAACTTCATATTGTACCAGAATTTAAAATGTTCAAAACAAAATAAACCAAGATGAGCAAATTGTTCAGGAATTAAAATGATTACAACCCAAATGAAATTCAAAACCAGAAATTTAAACTAAAACTTCTAAGAACAGAACAAAACACTAAAGCTCTAGAATCACTCTGAGTCCTTCGGCATCCCAAGTTGAGCCTTAATTCAGTTAATCTCATGATCAAGGTTATCAAACCGATCAAGAATACCCGAATAATAAGGCTCGTGCTTCCTAGACATCTCCATTACCGCATCAATCTTGTTAATCATAATTTGCTTAAACGGAGAAAATGCTTTAGGCTCCGATTCTTGTTCCCTTTCTGGTTCAATTTCTACTTGTGGTGGCTGGTCTTCATCATGAGATGGAACACCATCTTCATCAGTTGCAGGTTCTGGAGTCGGAGGGACATCTCCCTTGAATACCCATTTGTCTTCTTGTTTCAGCATCCCCATATGATGCAAAGAAGATTTTTCAGTATGGAGAATTATCTTTTTCTCCCCTTTCAGATCCACACCTGCTTTCTCAAAAATCCTAGATAATAACAAAGCATATGGTATCAGACTATCCTCCTTTCTCCTAGCCTTCCACATATAGTCATTCACCACAGACACCTAATCTATCTTAATTTTTTTCTTAATTACATACATCAGCAAAATGTCATCCCTTGACATTTGAGCATGATTATGTAATCTAGGCTTGATCATCCAGGCTATAATAAAAGAAATTAATCTTGAATTTTTCTTCATACCTCCGGCCAGAAATTTTGTGTAGTTAGTGGTCTCTGGGTTCCTTTGATAGTCTCTAAAAGTTGTCAGCTCTTCAAAATCTCCAAAGTTGAAGGGTTGGGGCTTCGTACTCCCATCTCTGCTAAGCCCAACTACTTCCTTCAAAGTTGGACCATCAAGATTTATAAGCTTGCCCTTCACCACAGATTGCATTATCCCTTCATTTCTTGAGGCAAAACATAAAAATAGCCTTATAAGCTCAAGGTAATAAGGTCCTTCTAACTCCAAGAACTTCCCAAGTTCCTGGTGCTCCAAGAGAGGAGGAAAGCTAAACCCCTCATTCTCGAACCATTCTAGCTTCAAGGTCTTTGGAGGGACGATTCTCCTACCCGCACACCATTCAAAATAGTAATCTTGGGTCTTCTCATCAGCAAACCACTTGGAGATGAGTTGCTCAGCTCTTGTGGGCAGAGGACGTTTGCTCCCCCTGACTTCAAGCTTCTTTGGCCTTTTGGAAGATGATGCCATTTCTAGGTTAAAGGTGGGTTCATGGTGAAGATGAAGAAGATGAAGAAGATGAGTGTGTTAGGGTTTGAGAGTTGAGAGAATGTGGGTATTTGGAAAATAAGAAGATTTGGAGGTTATAGAAGCCCTAGCACTAGATTGGGGTAGAGGAGAGGTTCCACTTATGAAAAGTAGTGGGAAGTTGGAGGTTGGCGCGAATAAAACCGTTCAAAAACCGTCTGGAAAACCAAGGGTCGCACAAATAATCGATTATCTATACAAATAATCGATTATTTGTATTAGTAAAATCCTTTGAAAAACCCTTTCTGCACTAAATAATCGATTATTTTTGGAATAATCGATTATTCCAGAGGGTCATTTCCTCTAACTTGCCTAGATAATCAATTATTGCCCAAATAATCGATTATTCCAGAGACTCTTTGTATTCTTGCTTCCCAGATAATCGATTATCTCCCAAATAATCGATTATTCTCCTAGGCTCACTTACAATAATCAATTAAATTTTATAATAATTGATTATTCCAGAGAAGTTTTGCTTCTCTTATTTCTAACCTTTTAACCCATTCCTAATCTTTTTCAACTCTTAAACTTTCTCTTTTATGCATCACATATCAATGTTTTACACATACATCAACCAACTTTCAATCAAGTAATCAAACTCAAGTACACATTCACAATCAATTCAAACAAGACTCATTGATTATTCCTAGTTCAATTCTCAATTGATTAAATCTTTCTCTTGGTAGAGGTTTTGTAAATATATCAGCTAATTGTTTACTAGTTTCAACAAACTCTACAACACAATCATTTTTCTGAACATGATCTCTTAAAAAATGATGCCTTATCTCTTTATGTTTTGTCCTAGAGTGCAAAATTGGATTTTTGGTTAGATTTATTGCACTTGTATTATCACATCTCAAAGGAATTTTGTTCAACTCAGTTCCATAATCTCTTAGTTGTTGTTTCATCCAAAGAATTTGTGAACAACAACTTCCGGCAACTATATACTCAGCCTCAGCTGTACTTAAAGCAACACAAGCTTGCTTTTTGCTATGCCATGAGACTAGTGCACTTCCAAGTAGGTGACAAGTATCACTTGTGCTTTTCCTATCAAGTCTACACCTAGCATAGTCTGAATCCGAGTAGCCTGTCAGACTTAGTGAGACTCCTTTTGGATACCATAAACCTACATTAGTTGTTCCTTTTAGATATTTAAGAATTCTCTTTACAGATTTCATGTGAGATTCTTTTAGATTTTCCTGAAATCTTGCACACAAGCACACAACAAACATTATATCAGGCCTACTAGCTGTCAAATATAAAAGTAATCTAATGATACCTCTATATTTTTAGTTGTCAACAACTATCCCTTTCTCATGCAAGTCAAGATTGCATGTGTTTAGTGATAATCAAAGTGCATTGTTTATGGCTCAGAATCCTATTGCTCATAAGCATGCTAAGCATATTGATTTGGATTGTCACTTCATCCGTGAGTTAGTTGCCTCTGGTCGCTTGGCTGTTCGCCATGTTCCTACTTCTCTACAACTTGCTGATATTTTTACAAAGGCGTTGCCTCGTCCGTTGTTTGAATTGTTTCGATCCAAGCTTCGTGTTGGTCTCAATCCAACGCTTAGCTTGACGGGGGGTGTTAAGAGCTAGTTATCAGGACTAATATCCTACCATTTATTCTCTCATTATTATGATGTAATTTCCTGTTTTACATTGTAATCTTTTTCTTTAAATCATATTGATTGCCTCACACAAATTGTG